TAAATATAACTATCATTAAAAGGTCCGTCTAGGGACACTGCCATTATTTAATGGTATTTACCGTCTTTATATAAATCAACACTGATTTAAATATTTATGTATGATATATTAATCTTGGCATGAGTGCGTGATTTATGGGTGGAAAAATGTCTAATTTCAAGCATTACAAATATTAACAAGTTAACAAATCTAGTGTTAGTATTTGAATGAAAGCGCCCGATAGTTAACTATAGGAGTGGGTTTCCATCTGACAGAAAACATGAGAGGAATAAGGTCAAATGCTTTGGGCCTCAAAACTTCAACTAATAACCATGTAAATAACAGGTTCAATATAGAAAAATATACAAGAAAGTTTGAGTTAGCCTACTAGAAGAAAACAATACATCATATATTTTGGGCAGACAAGAGATTCAAGTTCTGAGTTTTGGTCATGGGCCACTTGAATCCCAGACAGTGCATTTAAAAGATTTGCAGCTTTGAATATCCAGAAAACAAAGTAACCAACTGCTTTGCAGACAGCTACAACTGGGCATCATTGGCATAGCAATAGCCTTCTAGTATTAGGGTGGTGAAATGTACGGCCCAAGGGTAACATTTATATGGACTTGGCTCAGGCTGCGAGAGCACAAAATTAACGACAAAATCTGGCTCCAGGCTGCACCTCTGCAGCAAACAAATGGGTCTGCCTTTATTTCTTGTGTATATCAGCGAGACAAATGAGCTAACCTGAAACATGGGGTAGGTGAGGAAGGTCTCCAGAGTCCTTTCCTCACAGTCAGGCTTGGCCTCATACTGCTTGAGCAGTTTGTCAAAGTCTCGGTTCTGCTTGCAGTGAGCCAGGATCTGCAGGCTGTACTGGTGGTTCCTCACAAACTCCTGGTAGATGTTCAGCATCGGGAGCAAGATGTCAAAGAGGTCGGCTGTAGACAGATCAATACCAAGACATCAGTGACACAAGCAGTAGTGAGGGCTTCATCTGAGGAGTTATTCATCATCACCTTTACATAAGGCCTCACAGTCTGAACAAACTTCTGGATGGGTATATTATCAAAAAACAAAAACATGATATTGAAAGACAGTAGAAAAGAGGATTCTTACCGAGGACTAATGTTGGCCAGCTCGCTATTCTGGCTTTTAGGCCTTGGTAGAATATCTGATGTAGGAACATGATTGTTTCGCTGAAACAGAACAGATATTGGAAACAAACAATTGTAAAATGTTAGTGACAGCGCTGTCGTTACTGTACTGTAAGTGGTACAGATAATAGATGTGTAAATGATAAAGTACAGCTAATACATTTAAACTCAGCAGCTCTTCTTTTTGTCTACATATTTTAATATACTCATGTATGTCAACAAATATACAGTCTCTGTGCAAAATATCAGTCCCCTTTGGAGACAAGTAATCATTTAGAAGAACACACAATAACTGTTATTAATAAATACCAGTATCTTGTCAGTAGGTTTAAACTATTAATGACGTTTTCCATGTTTTGCCAGGCCAGCTTAAAGCATGGTGTAGGTGTTATCCTCTGCCATCCAGTTGATCTCATCACAGGAAAATATCAACAATCCACTCAAACCAGAAAGTAGTTTATCTTTTCGTTATTCCCATCAGCAGTTGTGCAGTGCTGTCTTTACTACCCAGCATATTGCTCTAAGCCTGTATTTATTACAGGTCAGGCTGTGTCCTTCACTAAATTAGATACAACTGCAGGTAACAGATCTGTTGTGTTCTGTGGGGCTGGTGTAGGTTTGCTGGACACACACAGGAGTTATGAATGTTTTATTTGTCATGTATGTATCATCGGATGCATCATTTTCCATTTGCATTTGCAGTCCCACATCACACAGATGATGCACCGCCTCTCACTCAAATCAGAGACCAGTTGGAACAGAAGTATTAATTCTTCTGCTCTGTGATGACTACAGGTGCTTCACCCAGTGCAGTGGAAAGATCGGACAGGTTGTTGTGGACTTGATGTGTCTTTGGAACTTGAATACACTCATGTTCAACTGCACATAACAATTTGAAGTAAACACATTTAAAAAAAAAAACACTGTGTAGCAAAGGGAAACAGATCACACTTAATATAAATGAAAGGTGTTTTGTTGTTTTGGAGAGGTCCGCTAACCAAAGCCAGGAAAGCTGCCCTCCGTCTGCATTTGCAATAGGAGGTGGTGTGAACAGGTTTCAACACAAATGCAATTTTGTGCCAAAACGATGACCAAAATTGCACCGCACCGCCTAATCAGCATATCCACTGTCTCAGCAGTGCCTCTCCTCCCACCTCGGCACAAACATGTTTGTTTGGTGCCAGGAAATTACCAAACAGGTGCAGACACAGAAAATAGACTCAAGGAAAATTGCATAAAAACCATGTTTGCCTGTGCGCTGGCTTCAGGCTTGCAGAACTCCTTCAGTAGAACCCTTAGTGTCAGGAAAGATTTACGGCCGAACAAAAGGATGCATGAATGACCGTCATGGTTTTTTGATCATTGATTTTTAGGGTATGTTGTGTACAAGTAGATATTTTAGCTGTTGCACGAATGAAAAAGATTAGAGGGTGACCAATCTCACAGAAATCCTTTGTAGGTTTAGGGTTTCAGTGCAAATGTACATGAATTGGTCATATTAGGATTTTTCATTTTCGCATCATGAGCATCAAATTTTAAGGCAATCACTTCAAACGTTGCTGCCAGGTGTCCCATATTTTTCATACTTGTAGTAAAAAATGTTGTCCTTTGTATCCTCAAGCTTTGTTTGGCATGTTTTACGGGACAAAAATATCTATTTCATACCACGTAAGCCTGAATAATCAGAGCCCACTGCAGTCAACTTACTGACAAATGGAAATACTGTGACCCACAGAACAGAACATTCATTTACATATGGAGCTACGCTTATGGCTCTGAGTTTTGCATTTAAGACAGTTCCTCTTGAAATACCATTCTGGAGTTGTTGGACTAGTAATTCGTCTGCAGCGCCCATTTTCACTGACTCCAATGAACTCCAAGGCTTGCATGCATTCACACATGTGATGCACGAAATTACAGACAGTCAGAATCTGTCTTCTACATAATTATGTTATTTAAGGCAATCAGAAGAGGCAAATATGAGCCAACCTGTTGAGGAATATGCTGCTGACATCATCGTGGGTGATGGGCGGTTTCTTGGAGCTGGCTGCCATGCGTAGTGGCCTCAGGAAGTTGTTCACCAGAATATGAAGCTGCTGGACGTACTCTGCCTCCGAGTCCAACATGCTGAACACCACCTGGTTCCTTTTCCTCATGCTCTCCGCATGAGGCGAGCGGATATAATCCTGGATGATGGTCTTCCACTTCCTCCTGCAAATCCAGCCTCGCAGAAAGCTTTGGACCTGCAGCAGAAAGCCCAGTCTGTCAATATCTACACAATACTTATAATTGAACAAACCTGATTAGATGAGACGCTTTACCTTCTTGATCTTCTTGATTTCTGAGTCGTCCTCGCAGGGGGTGGCTGCGGGGCTGGCGCTGATCTTCTCATTGTCTTTGAGCAGTCCAGCGATCTGTCCGGGAAGCAACCGCAAAAAAGACCAATCATTCCCACTTACACACTTCATTTCTTCTCACTTACTGTAGCCGCATGTAAACAAAATGACTGAGTCAACAAGGCAGGACCTGTCAGCAGTATCACCACTGAAACATTAGCCTGACTAAACTAGCTGCGTTCACTTGACTGGTTACTCACATTCTTTATTATAGTCATCATTTAAATGCAATATGTACACATCCAGCATGTATGTTGCATGGCAGGAGGTAAAAAAAAAAAAAAAGAAGCCCAGACTGGAGTTGCCTTGAACTGTTTGAAGCTACAGTAAGTGTCTCCATTTACTTTGTAGACAGGCACAGAGTTAATTGTCATTGCATTTCATAGAGGAGATGCAATATAAAGCAGTGTTCATGCATATTCACAACGTAATTTGATTTCAAGCATCACATTTGCACATTAAAGTAAAATGACTATTTGATCTGAAGAATACAGCTGGGAACACAGCCCTACTGGAGGCATTGTTCCTGAGAGGAGATGCAAAGTGGAGAGTGTTTGGCCTGAACACGACTCTCTCTGTGACGGAGCTGCGCTTCCATTTCTGTCCTCTCACACTAGCTTCCACATATGAGACAAACAGAACAATAATCAGCATAATCCGTCGTTCTCCCACTGGTTCAGCTGGTATTTGTTGTGCTGGCAGGTTGATGCGAGGATGCAGACACATTTTGGAGAGAGTGCAATGTAAGAAGCAGTGGTAATATAGTAATATCGTGCCAGGGAAAGTCTATTTACAGTGCGTCTGACTAATATCGTGTGTGGCTGCCACACATTTGCCTATAGATGGAAGATCCTGTAATCCTTGGCTATTGTGGTCCAGTCAGAGAGGACAAAATCCTGGATACTTTACCAGTGCTTGCTTAGTGTTGAAAGGATTGCCATCAGAAGACCCAGTTCAGACAAAATAGTCTCTAGTGTTTGGACTTCTCGTACATAAATTTATCGGAACAGAAACAATACGTTCTATATGTATATTCAGCTTTCCAACACTTCTTGAAGTCTTCAGTTCTGTTGTCCCGTTCTCCTGAGAAACTTAACCGAATCTAAGCTCAGTGATGTGATAATAAATCAAAATCACTGTCTTCTGCATGCCTCTTTTGAAAATTCAACAAATATAAATAGTTTTGCTGTAACCAGATTCTGTAAAATACAAAAGCTTTTGTGCTCACTGACACAACCAAAAAGCCACGAGTAACTCACCTGCAACACACAGTCACATGACAAAAATAAAGAGACTTTTGGTTGAACTCGACTGATCTGCAGGCTGTGTTTACAGGAGACAAGTATGGAATCTAATGAAAAACTGAAGTTGTAAAATATCTATAGTATACAGTTACAGTTGTGTTTTGTTTTTTACTTTCCCCCCAGTATTGGTAACACCTGTGAACACCTGAAAAAGTCTTTTTTTAATTCTGTAAGTCATCAAAGAATTTCAACTCTTGTTTAGTTTTTTATTTTTTTTTATTTTTATCCTTTTTAGGATTTGTGTCACGCTACACAGAAGACATTTTTGAATCGTCCCTGCTTTTAGCCATGGTTGTGCTGTTGCCAAAGAGGTGCAGGACTTTAAACTGCAGTGAAAAATGGGTTCTGGGTTCAGAGGGTTAATAACTGGAGGTTATGCATATAAAGGAGGGAAACCAAAGATAAAAATAGCAGGAAGTGTCCATCATGTGCACTGTGCAGACAGCAGTCATTTGGTTTAGTCTGTTACTGATGAAAGAGTCTCATCCTGATGATGATTTTGAACCAAGATCTGAAATAATAAAAAGCATCTTTTCCTTAATGGACACTGGAGATCCCGACACTGCTGTAAAAAGTGAATTCAACTGACAGTGTGTTTAGATTTAAGTGAGACAGCAGCGTGACGTTTCTGGCAGTTTGTGTTAATCTCCAACGGACATGGTTAGCAAACATGATTATGTATTTGTTTACATTCCTACTCTTGAGTGTAAAGAAATCATAGTGAATATTACCTCTGACTTAAGCCTTTCAATCTCTATTTCCCCATCTTCTATCTGTTGTCGAAGTTGCTTAGCAACTGTTTTCTCCGTCTCCACAATCTGAAGCAGATGAAGATACTTCTGCATGAGAGTCTCATGCTCGGTGGCCAAGTTTCTGTAACTGTAACACATGCACACACACACACACACACACACACACACACACACACACACACACACGCACACACACACACAGTTTTGTACTGTCATAATGAATTTCATATGAGTGCATGTAGTTTCATCTGACATCAAAGCAATCAGGTTTGAACAAAGCATTTTTCTTCAAGTCTCTTATTCCTCATATTTTAACCCCACTTTTGAAACCATGGCAACACCCACTACAGGCTGAGCACATCAGTCAAAGATTAATCACCCTCTACCAACTAACTCAACTTCTAATTGCCATGTCTGCTCATTTCCCCGACGTGTGCCTTTACCTGGCGTGTGATATTGCAGCCACCCATTCATCGCAGTCTTTTACATCTTCTGTGCGTAACTCAAGTGCCTTTTGGTTTTCATGGGTGAAGCTGACTGTGAAATAGTACTGAAACAAATAAACGGGAGGGGAGGAAGAAGGTGAGCAGGTCCAGTTAGCAACAACAACTATCATTAAGCTGACATGTTGTACGTTCTTACACAGAAAGAAGCGTTCATTATCGGTTGGCGCTGAGATAAATCTGTGGCATAGTGGCTTTCCTGAAGCTTCTCCATTGCTTCTGCCTTTGTGTTTGTTCCACTACCTCGCCGCTGCAGACATCAAGCGGGTGATTTAAAACCGCACAGAGCCTGGGGAAGCCACATCTTCCTCGCCCACCAGTGCAGTTGATGGAGCACACTGAGGGAAGCCTCCCCCAGCTCAGTTCCTGGGATGTCTCTGGTTCCCAGGAGGAAATGCCATAAGACATGGAGGCTGGAGCCACGGCCGATTGCATAACTGCGCGATACCTGTTTCCTAGCAACTCCAGTCAATGTGAACAGTTGTTCACAGCTGTTTTTTTTTTTTTGTTGTTGTTTTTTTTGCGTTTTCTTGTGTCACTCAACCTCAGATTCGTCCTTTCACGCTGGACTGATTGCGGCCGGTGAAATGAACAGCTTATGTGCTTTTGTTTTAACTTATGAATCCTACATTCTTCTTGTGGAGGAGTTTTTTTTTTTTTTTTTTTTACACGACTGCTGTATTATCCAGCACTTCTAACCCATCTATATAAATGCAGCTCCTCTTAATTGAGCGGATAATTATTAGAACCTAGAAACACTACAAGTAGAGATGCCCAGAAAAAACAAATGTGAGTGAAGCTTTTTTCCAAAATAAGACAGAGGAATTGTTGCAATTTCAATTTAAAGTCACTGAAAAAACATCTTTAAGAGCAGAAACAACAGTTGTTAATATTAATATTAATTATATTTTGCTAAAAATACTTATTAAAATAAAAATGCAAACACTTAACTTTTACTTTTCATCACCAGAAGATGCACAAATGCATCACCTTCCTTCAAAAATGAACCCCCTGTACCAAAATACCCGAAATCTGTATTTACACATCATCCTTGTGAAGCCATTTTTGATGACAGCTACACATAATAAATATTGCTTATCTAAAAAACACTATCAATCTCAAAAAATTGAGCCTTTACAAAAATGAAAACATCCCGACTCCCTTAAATGAACTGCCATCTGTCCTGTGGACTCTCGCAGCCACGTTAAGTGAGACCAGACTCTAATCTTTGGCCTGCAGATGTTCAACAGGCGCCTATCAACCTGCAACTGATCATTATTCATGGCTGACTGCTCTTCCATCTTCACATTCATTAGGTATTCATCCTACCGTCAAAGAAAAAGCTATTTTTGGCAGAGAGGCATGCATGTTGTTGTAGTTTTCCCTCATGATCTCTCTCTCTGAGAGCGCTGTGGATGTCTGGTGTGAGGCGATGCTAAGCACGCCGTCTGCATTCCGCTTTATGTTTATGGCTGAGTCATGCACCTTTAAAAAAAAAAAAACCCATCACTGATCTCGGCAGAGGTGGATGTAACACCGATGGAACCTGCGATACAGACACACGTGTGTTATTTGCTCTGATATGTACAAAAAAAAAAAAGAAATCGTATGTCATGGCAGCACTTGCTGCGCAGTAGAGATGAGTAGTAAATAATAAATTAGACATGTTTTGATGAATTGTTCCATGAGTTGTGTAATTGCTGCCGACTGATAAACAGCTCGGTTTTATTGCAGCAATATTGTGAGAAGACTTTCCAGAAGCATATAATGAAATCTATACAGCATTGTTTTCCCTGGAGATTGAAGTGTTAGTTATCATTCTAGTTTCATTTTAATGAGGAGCTTTAATCTAAACGCTAGACCCGAGAGTGTCTTGTTTGACTGATCCATATTGGTCAGATCTTTTGATTTATGGTGCCGTTTGTAGCCGGGAATCAAAGCCATCACTTAGCTTCTTGTGTTATTGGTTGAAGTGCTGCAGTTACACAATGTGAGCAAGCTGTGTTTTCTATAATTGGACTCTGACCCCTCCAAGGTACTGCAAGGAACAAATTTAGCTCAGATAGTGCTCACATTAATAGGAGCGATGTGACACACTGCTTCTCTCCTCTCCGTTACCCCGCCTCTTCCAACTGCATCATTCTTTAGGATGCAAATAAGGGTTGCCATAGAAACCTCAGGCTCAAACGCATTATCATTTTCACACTAACTGCATTTGAGGATAAATATAATGTGGGGATTATGGTGGATTGCCAAAAAAAAATGTTGCCACAAAGCCTCACATCTAGGTAGGGACAGGAGATGAGGGTGATGTTTTCTTATTTGTAAAGATGTATGTTTGTTTGTTTACGCTGAGAGTCAATGCTTCATATTAGTCACATGTTGTTTGTGCATTCCTCTGTGAACTGGATTCAAAGTACAAAGAGTGTCAGGTGTTTTTTTTGTCTGCTTTATCATGAATTCAAGATGGCAGATCAGGCTTTTTTTCAGCATGCTCGCATTTGTGCATAAAAACAGCACAATGCAGAGGAAACAGCACTGCTGACAAAAATATATATATAAAAAAATCTTTCAGGGAGGGCTTTTTTTTTTCCTTCTTCTTCTTCTTTGGGTACCTTTTAAAGCAACTGTGGGGAGCACAACATTAGCCGGTGAGTTGCATTCTGCTTCGTCAGCACAAGGGCAGCTGTTCACAGGAAGAGCCTGGACTCACTTTGGATTGCAGCCCTACCTACAGAGTCAGGCACAGAGCCGGGAGAGAGCCGAGGAGAAAGCCGGTGGCGTCGGAGCATTATGTTTCCTCCACTGTTAACAAGCGGTGTTAACAAGCCTTGTTAACCTTTCTGCTCCAAACTGCTGCATTTCTGATTCAACAAGGAGCCGGTGGAGATCAAGTAAATACTTCATTTGCAGATATATCTGATTTAAGATTACAAATCACGTTATTCGGAGCCCGCAGCAGAGACGCCACAGAACACAACAGCTACCAAAACATGCAAATGCAACCTGCGGCATCACACTCCAGACTGAATCACTTCATTCAGGTCATCTAGATCAGAGCTGACTGATCAGTGGCACCCTGCTGTTTCCCAGAGCCTCCACTGTAATGCCATAATTCCACCACAAGATGGAAACCTTGATGCCACAACTTATTTTTTCCTCTCTTTTTTTTGTGCATGTTTTATTGGAGGCAGCATTAGGTAGGCTATAACACTCTCCGCCCTAAAACGTCAAAAACATGATGACAGAAAGTCAAAAGCAAAATATATGACCAACCAGACTGCAAATGCATCACTTGGATAAGTCCAGAAATCCATTTACATTTAACGCACTGCTGAAACTGCCAGTTGCAAGAAAAAAAGAGAGAAAAAAAAGAAAAAGAATGAATGAAAGAAAAAAGATCAAGCACAGACAGGTTTGGTGCAACCTGCAAACAACAAAAACACTGCATCGCTTATTGCCAGGGCTGCTGTAATATCATTAGGTGTTAATATTGTTACCTCATCATTAATGCTATGCATGGATTACATAACGTGCAATACAGCAATCTGCTGGAACCTTGTGCGATTCTGCTGCACTGGATTTGAGGTCATCATGCGAAGGGATGTAAGAACATACACATAAGAGGAGGAGGAGGAGGAGGAGGGGGGGAAGCGTTTGGTGCGTAACTGAACGAGACTTTAGAGGCGTTTGAGGCTCAGGAGGAGATTTTTTTTTTTTTTTTACATTTACAGCTCGCCAGTGTTTCTGCAGGAAAGAAAACAACAATAAGCAGAGAAAGACAGAGAGGGAGCGGAGCTTGTGTGTGTGTTTGTGCATGTGTGTGTGTGTGCATGTGTGCGCGCTCCCTACCTGCTTTTCCAAACACTCCTTGGCTGACAGCGAAGGTTTCGGTGAAGGCGCCCTGTCGCATATGCATCCCTCCAACAGGTATAATCCCGAGGGTCGAGAGCTGGACTCGTTCTCGAAATAAAAGAGCATATTCTGTAACAAAGCGAACCACTTTGTGTGCCATTTCGTGTTGTCTGAGCTCCTTTTGCTCAAGCACCCGCGCCTCGTACCATCCTTCTTTGCCAAAAGCCCCAGGTAGGTGACATGACCATCATTAAGTCGTATTCCCTTCTGCATTTTGATGAGGACACTTGAGCTGCGCAAAAGGTGGATCTGTCGTTACATCCTCCTGAAGTCCAGAAAAAAAAAAAAAAACAGAACCAAAAAAATCAAACAACAACAAATCAAATAAAGAAAAAGGCAAGACTTTGTGAATGCGGACCTCTCAGCAGCAGCCTTGTCCACTCTGTCCGACGCATTCACCGTGTTGGCATTTAAGTAAAAAGAGAGGAACAAAACGAGGAGCACAAGTCCAGCATCCTAAAATCTTTTGTCATACTCCGAGCGCTTTGAAGGTCCACATTATCCGATTGCGTAAAAAAAAAAAAGGAAAAAAAAGAAAAAGACAGAAAGACGGAAAGAGGGCCGTGAAAACAGTCGCAGACGCAAGATGAGAGGAGGGAGGGAAAAAAATAGGGGGGTTCGAGGTTTGTCCTTTTTCTCACATGAAATCTCCAGAAACCAGTAGGCTTGGTGCTGAGCTAGGCAGAGCTGGGTGAAGTCACATGACGCATGCTTGGGAAAGCAGATTTCAGGACCTTGGACAGGGACGGCTCAACGAGATGCCGCATAAGTTGAGTTTTCCTCTCAAGACGATCCGAGGATGCGAGAGGAAAATGGAAAACTAGCAGGCGTTCAGAAAGAGAAAAGAACTACTTTAATGGAAATCAGGCTGCAGAATCCAGAGATTTCACTTGAATTCTCCACATCTCCAGTTAACAGTTAAAGTTCCACAGTGGCTCCCATGATTACAGTTACAGATTGGTTTTTGTTCTTTAAGCCAAAGCTGGCAATTAATGCAGATATTTTTGGAATTTTTATGAGGCTGTATAGAACAGGTAAAGTTACTCTATGACCTCGAGCACTATTTAAAATGTATTATTTATTTATTCTTGCATTTTTGAGTCTCTTTATGAATGTATGCTACAACAAGAAAGATCCAGGAAGTATGTGCACAGTGTTAAAACACATAAATGGCTTCTACAGGCTGAAGTTAGTATTTAGTGTGACCTCCCTTTGCACACCTTGACTCTCCTGGATTGTCTTGAAGTTTTCTTTTTTTCTTTTTATAAATTGTTTTCCTTTAAAAAAAAAAAAAAGCCACAAAAAAGTCCTTTAGGTGTCCAATATGTGTACCGGTGAATGTGACAACCGAGGCGAGAAAGAATGGTTCATCAAAAGACTAGAATGATTCAGGTAAAGCTATGTATCTGAACTTTATTTTACCAGGTTAAAAATGCTTGAGAACCAGAACAAATACGCATGTCAATCACAGACACAAATAGACACATAAACAGAACATAGAACAAAAATAAGCAAGTAAGAAGCCTGAGAGCATGTGAGTGAAAACAGATGTGCATGAGGTGTAAGAAAGTGTGTGTGCGTATATATGTGTGTAAGTAAAATCTGGCGTGATCAGCAGCAGCAACAAAGTTAAAACTAAGGCTTCACTTTCCAGCTTCTGCAGACATTTCAGCTGCATCTCGTGCTCTTCCTCCATCCAGCTAAATGAACCTTGAGTAGAAATGAATTAGTCACAAGTACAAGAGTGAACTTTCATGCTAAAGTCATGCCACTGTCAGGACTGGGGGAAAGTATTTGCAGAAAGCATACATTAACAGAAGGATTACACTAAATAATTTACACCACAGACAACAGGGATGCAGTATTTGGGAGTTTTGCGTGTTAGGTTGCGACCGACTATAACTCCTAGTACATCCTGTTGATGGTTCTTCCTGTCAGAGTCACCACTTCATCAATAACTCTGACAGCAATCAAAGTACACACAATGTTCCCTTTAATGGATTCCCAATATGCTGATTATCCTACAATGCTCCCATGATTGACATTTTAACTTCTCATAGCAGGAAAAGTACAGTTACTCACATTGGCAAAGTCCTATTCCAGCATCCCAGTAAGACACAACGGCAGTGAGCGTAAAGCAGCTAAATGGAATTCAGCCATGATTAATTTCATTATGTTTTCTGTTGAGACAGGCAACACTATCAAAAGAAGCAGAAATATCTATGAAATGATAAAAAAAAAACAAAAAAAAAAACAAAAGCCTAGCTATGATGTGAAACTCAACAACTGATTTACAATTAAATGACTAAAGTGTGCAAAAAAACAGCATCATGCTCCTTTAACATGTGGTCTCAGTGTTGCCTCTGTGGTGTCTTATGGTCGGATGGAGACTCTATATGTGCTGGTCACATGCAAGGATTACACTGAAACGGATGCATCAAGGTAAATGTGCCACTCCAGAGCTTTGAGAGGAAAAGCAGTGAAACAAAGCTTTTAAACAAATCAAGCATGTAATTCACTTTATCTGTACACAATATACCCCCAGCGAGTGGTTTATTAAGCACACCTAAAATGTACGGTCATCTGGAAGCTGTAGTTTTTGCTGCTTTTGTTTTTGTTTTTTTTTTGTACAGAGAAGTGTTTCTGATATTTAGCATACTACTGAAAGAAGTGAGATGAACAAAAATGAATAAATAAAATAGAAACACCTACCCCAAACCTGCTACCACCACTTAATTAAAAGCATGGCTGCAAGTAAAGTAAGTCTTTAAGATGCAAATATTTGAGTAATTACGCTAAAACTAATGCTATGTGTCATTTCTGTGTCAGTTTATTTGAAATGAAACTCAAGTAGTGAATTAATTAACCTGGCTTGATAACGACATGTTAAGCTCAGGATTTCAAATGTATAAAAGCTTGTGTTTATGTTACCAATTATTAAGTAATCTGTTCTTTCAAACACCCCTGACTGAAAAGGAAAGACTGATTCCCTCAACTCACCAGTTTGCTTCATGAACATAATTTCATTAGTTGTCGTAACTCAGAAACGCTGCTGCGAATTTTATTTTGAGATTTGTTTAGATTTGTTTTTAGGTGTACTACAATTTACCAGCACCACGAAATTTAGGCTCCAAAATGTTCACAAATGTGGAATCGTACTATCCATCCATCCATTATCTATACACCGCTTAATCCTCACTGGGGTCGCGGGTGGGCTGGAGTCTATCCCAGCCGACTTAGGGTGAAGGCAGGAGACACCCTGGACAGGTCGTGGATTCTACTATTTTTAAAAAATCTGTAAAACTATATTCTATCTTCAAACAGTGATGTGTAACATATAGTATATGGACATCCCTCCCAAGTGGAGGGTGACATCTTATATTTTATAGTCTTCTGTGGTCTTTTCAGGTTGGTGTCTTACTTTTTTTTAATCACCTGTTTCTGCACATAAGTTTTGTAATTCTCCAACAAAAACACAACCTTCAATCAGGTACTCATTGACATCAGTGCCCTCATTTTGTTTTGCTCTCAATCCTCTTAAACGTTTCTAAATATACTGTTAATCTGAGCACTGGACCCCACCTCTGATGCAATGCCATCAGGTAAGACGTTGGCTAATAGGTTAACTCGATAAAAAGGGTCATTTCAAGCAAAAAAAGAAAAAAAAGACAGAATTTGCAGCTTGAGCTTGTTTGAGCTGCATCATGATGTCATGTGGGAACTTGTGCATCTCAGTGGTTCCAGAGCTCAACTATAAAACATGCTCAAGCACATAGCCAATATGCTTCTTTGAGCACCCAATTTGTTTAAAAGGCACATGCTCTAATCTGCTGTCAGTCCTCCAGCTACTTCTCAGAGAGGAGATTTATTTATTACTCCATCTCCATTGTTATCTGCACTCTCTCTCTGATCTGTTCTGCCATAAATCCCTCCAGGCTCTGCAGCGTCTTCCTCAACGTGCCCCTCCCTTATTTTTTTCTTTTTCTTTTTTTTTTTTTCTTCAATCAGACACTCACTAGTTAAATATTAACCAAAAAAAAATATGTATGCGAGCAGTGGAATGCTGGCTGAGATGCAGAGAAATGAGCCCTTGACGTCGGTTTTGTAATAAACTGATCCAGGGTTAGGTACATGTGCTGCAACTAGGCAATTAAAGCTGCCCAGTTTTGAATAGATTTGCATAGACACGCATGTGAGAAGCTGATAACACTGTGGGTATTGTTGATGTGCACTGTATGAGCCAAGCTGCAACACAACAGGGCCGCTGTGTTTAATGTGGGAATTTCCAGTCCATCCTGCTCTGTGGATCATCTTGAGAGAGCAGCGAATGTTCCCCAAAATGACGCGTCTAAAAGAAGCGCTTGTTAGATGTTTCAATAAATTTGTGTGTTCAAAGATATTTGCATCAGCAGTCCTCCAGTAGGAACTGATGCTCAGCACTTCTTATCAATAACAACGGATGACAGCGGGGTGTTTTTGTGTTAATCTGTGTTACTCCTCTCCTGTAACATGAGGAACTTTCTTCACATGGATAACTGATTATGGCACAGGAAAACGGGACATTTATTTCAATTGATAGACTGACTATTTAATCTATAATTAGCCAAAAAATGTCCTTGAATTACTTGTGTTGTTCAAAACCAGCTTCAAACCCAGATACTTCCTGTCCCCTGACCTGCAGTACTTTTCAAAATCTGCTTGTTATTGTTTAGGGCTGCAAGGTGGAGCAGTGGGTAGCACTGTTGCCTCACAGCTAGAAGATTGCCGGTGTGCATCCCTATGAGGATACCTGGGATCTTTCTGTGTGGAGTTTGTATGTTCTCCCCGTGCAGCGTGGGTTCTCTCCGGGTTCTCCGGCTTCCTCCCACAGTCCAAAAACATGTTGAGGTTAATTGGTAGTTCTAAATTGTGTGAATGTGAGTGTGCTTGGTTGTCTGTCTCTAAGTGTAGCCCTGTGATAGACTGGTGACCTGTCCAGGGTGTCCCCTGCCTTCACCCTGAGTCGGCTGGGATAGACTCCAGCCCCCCATGACCCTAGTGAGGATTAAGCGGTGTATAGATGATGGATGGATGGATGTTAGTGTTCACTGTTATGCACTAAAACACCAAGTCAAACTCTGCATATGTGAAAACCTGCTGAGCAATAAAACTATTTCGGATTCTGATCTTTCTGATTCTAGACTATAAAGCTGCCGAAAGTAACATATTGTCAAACTGGATAACCAGAAA